GCATAGCCAGTTAAGAAAAAAATTAGGACGGTGGATTTAATTACATTTTTTGCATAGTTCTTTCATGGAGGGTACTATATGAAGACAGGTTATGTATAATGTATTACACACGAAGCAGTACTAGCAACGCTTGTGATTTCCAGGAATGGTCATAGAAATAACATGACAGATTGTATAATTTCTGTGAGGTATGCTCTGCTCATGGTATAAAAGGGGATTTTATTTAATCTCATCCGATGTGTTTTGAAGGTAATCAGCTGTTTAAATCTTCACTGATGGCTGTTCTGCAAAGGTTCCCAGTTTCATAGTCTGTCACCTTATTCAATTGGCTGAAGCACTGATTAGAATTGTACATTTGCTACGTGACACTGAATTCCTTTCACAATATGGACTATAAAAATTCATGTTTTTTAGCACGCATGTTACAAGCATGACGATCCACAGGCTCTGACATGCTTCACCAAAAAGGCTTAGGGCCAGTTCACACCATATGCAGTTGTGATGCAGTCCGTTTATTTTGACTGCTGCAGTCAAAATACATCACAATGCTTTCCTATGGGCTTTCTCGTGCTGTATTCACACCATTGCAGTCCGTTCATATGCAGTCAGAAAAAGTAGTGCTTGTCCTATTTTACCTGCATCAAAACGCGGTGCAAGCGCATAAAAAAAACAATTGATTGTGGCATCATCCAGGGGGAAAAACGCATTTGAACGCATGAAAACGGATCGCAATGCAACTGCGCAGACACACGCCGTTGTGATGCAGTTTCTGGTGTGAACTAACCCTCAATCATAGAGACCGATTTTTTTTTTTTTTTTATTTTTTTTATCTTGGTCTCTATGATTTAGGCCTTTTTGGTGAAATATGTCAGCCTGTGGATTTTGTCATGCTTGTAACATTGAAGATTCCTGGGAATAAACCTTTTTAACATGGCGGTCCTGGCTGTTCAGTGCAGCTTTACATACATTGGATTACTGGTGATGGCCGTAACGTTCTTCTGTCGGCCGACACCCGGCATTTTGGATGGGACTTATGAGCTTTGGCTTACGAATGTGAGCTGTGTCCTTTCACAAACGTCTTTATTTTGGCATTCACTGTAGTCCGTGTGTCACAGTATTACAGACCCTGCTGTTTATGGACAATTTCTCCCTATTCTCACAGTGGCCATTTTTACTAAGGGCAGATTACTATATCTTCCTTTACTTTCTGGAACTCTGGCACATGTGACCATGCACATAAACTCAGGGGATGAATATGCCTTTCCCTGAGATCTCATGGGACTACAGATGAGATTTCCCAGCAATGCAATGTGATGCAACTGTCCCAGGATGCAATGCTTGGGCACAGGCTGCCTCAGGAATTAGAAAAACAGTACAGTGGCGCGCAAAAGTATTCACCCCTTTGACATCTCTCCTATTGTGTTGGATTACCACCTGCAATTTAAATGGACTTTTATTTGGAATAGATATAATGGACATACGTAAAATAGTCCTAAATGGTGGTGAAATCCAAGAAAATAAATTGTTTTAAAAAATTATAAATATATAAAACTGAAAAGTGGTGCATGCTTATGTATTCACCTCTTGTGCTGTGAGGGCCCTACAAGATCTGGTGCAACCAATTAGCTTCAGAGGTCACACAATTGTGTAAAGGCTACCTGTGTGCAATTTAAGTGTCACATGATCTCGGTATATATGCACCTTTTCTGAAAGGCCCCAGAGTCTGCAACACCACTGAGCAAAGTTGTGTAAAAGTACAGATTAGGGTTTATGTATATAATTAAATCCATTATTAAAAAATGGAAAGAATATGGCACCACAACAGACCTGCCAATAGAGGGCTGCCCACCAAAACTCACGGACCAGGCAAGGAGGGCATTAATCAGAGAGACAACAAAGAGACCAATTGCTTACAAAAAAAAATAAGCAAACACATTTGCTGTTTGCCAAAAGGCAGGTGGGAGACTCCCCAAACATGTGGAAGAAGGTACTCTGATCAGATGAAACTAAAATTGAGCTTTTTGGCTTTCAAGGGAAATGCTATGTCTGGCGCAAACCCAAGACCTCATCACCCTGTAAACGAGCATGGTTGTGGCAGCATCATGCTGTGGGGATGTTTTTAATCAGCATAGACTGGCAAACTGGTCAGAATTGAAGGCACTTTGGATGAAGCTAAATACAGGGGGATTCTTGAGGGAAACCTGTTTGTCTGCCAGAGATTTGAAACTAGGATGGAGGTTCACCTTCCAGCAGGACAATGACCCCAAGTCTACTGCTAAAGCAACACTTGAGTGGTTTAAGGGGAAACCTTTAAATGTCTTGGAATGGCCTAGCCACAGCCCAGACCTCAATCCAATTGAGAATCTGTGGCATGACTTAAAGATTGCAGTACACCAGCAAAACCCATCCAACTTGAAGGAGCTGGGGCAGTTTTGCCTTGAAGAATGGGCAAAAATCCCAGTGGCTAGATGTTCCAAGCTTAGAGATGTACCCCAAGAGACTTGCAGCTGTAATTTCTGCAAAAGGTGGGTCTACAAAGTATTGGGGGGAGGGGGTTGAATAGTTGTGCACACAAGTTTTCTGCTTTTTCGCCCTATTGTTTATCAATTAAAAAAAAAAATACTTTGCATCTTCAAAGTAGTTAGTCATGTTGTATAAATCAAATGAGAGGGGGGGGGAGAATACTTTTGAAAGCCATTGTAATTGAAATTTTTTTTTTAATGAATGTAAGATTATTTCGTATCAGAATGCAGAGCTGATTTTTAATGAAGGGTAAAGGTCCACTTTAACTCTGCACGCTTCTAATTTCACTGTAAGATGCCAGAATATAATAAATGTGGTCACATTTACACCAAGTTACTGGTTAGTCAGTGCGCCCAAAGCTGACTCAGTACTGACATCTGGGAAGAGCCAGGACACATGCCTTTCACCGTTCAATATTGCTCAATACACTCTTAAAACATCAAGGAAACCACAGCTTCCCTAAGCTCTCATTTTCCCACTATTTCCACAGTAGCTTTTTCTTAAGAAAGAATACTCCTATTCTTCAGGAGATGGGACTAATCAAGCCTGTATTTTGTAGGTAACCTAACTCCAACTAAGCTTCAGGTAACCCACACATTCTCTATCCACATCGGTCAGACCTGCTCACGCACCATTTGCCAAGAAATGTCCTTACCAGCAAAATTCGTTGTTTTGGGTTCAGCAGTACTAACTGAACTGTATAAAGATACTATATCTCATATATATATATATATTCTGGAAGCCTTTTTTACTAAGAAAAACATCCAAGCCAGGCTTCATTTTGCAAAAACCTACATTAAGCCTGACAGACATGTGGGAAAATGTGCTATGGTCTGATGAGACAAAGATTTAACTTTTTGGCCATAATTCCGAAACTAAACGCCATATCCACAGTGAAGCATGGTGGTAGCGTTATGCTTTGGCGCTGTCTATCTTCAACTGGAACTTGGGCATTAGTTAAGGTGAAGGGACTTTTGAACAGTTCCAAATATTTGTCAATTTTGGCACAAAACCTACAGGCCTCTTCTAAAAAAAAATAATGGCGGAATTTAACATTTCAGCATGACGACACAAAGCATGCCTCCAAATCAACAAAACTATGGCTTTCCCAGAAGATGATCAAAGTTTTTTAAAATGGCCTAGCCAGAGCCTGAATTCAAATGAAAATCTGTGGGGTGAGGGCTGGGCACAGGAAATGCTCTCACAATCAAAAGGTGCTTCAACAAAGTATTTAAGGGTGTGCATATTTATGCAACCAAGTTATTGTAAGTTTTTTTTCCCCCCCCTTTTTAAAGATTTCAGTTTGTTTTTAATTAAATTGCACAAATTATAGGCCACATTAAAAATTCTGAAGTTAATTATCTTTTTTTTTAACTATCCACTGTGTGTGTGTGTATATGTGTATATATATATATGTGTGTGTGTGTATATGTATATATATATATATGTGTGTGTGTGTGTATATATGTGTGTGTATATATGTGTGTGTGTGTATATATATGTGTGTGTGTATATATGTGTGTGTGTGTATGTAGCTGTTTGACATGAGTTATTTTAGTTGTGAAGCAATCTTCTGCAAAGGAGTATGGGAAACGTATTCAGCATTGCCTTTAATGCACTCCTAAAAGGTGATGTTAGAGCCATCATTACGCTTTGTTCCTTTGTGTGCATTCTATTATGGCAGCTGTGAAATTGGAGCATTTCAATTTGTTTCAGATCTTTAAATACAACAGAAGTATTTTGAGTCCCTGCTTAAGTAAATGACACTACATATGGTATGATGCAAAAAACAAAGTGATATTTAACAGATTGATAGACTGCCTTATCTGATATATGAACCTTGTGCACAAAGCGGCTACTTTCCTTGTGAATGGGCATCATCATAGATGGATTAAGATGTCCACATCTACTTATAAGGTATCACTTAGGCCTGGTTCACACTGAGCGTTTTGTAGCGCTTTTTCTGCCCTAAAAAAATGTGGCATTTTACCGCTCGTTTTAGCCCCATAGACCTTATAGAAAATGCTTGAAAACAAGCGAATGCTGTGTTTTTGTGCGTGTTATACGCATGGTTGCTCATTTACGTCAATGAGCTGCAATCGGCTCACAAACGTGCGATCTGATTTATGCGCATAAAATGTGCAGCAAAAAGGCTGTCGCCTAGGTGTGAGCCCAGTCTAAAGGTAGCATAGACTTTGCACAGTCATTTTTATTTCCACTATAGCCGACATCTACACAATATCACGTCTGTCATTTAGCTGCGCATGCTTCACTTGTTCTCTCTGCAGACAGTTCAGCTTGCTGTTTTTTATACCTCCAGTTTAACATATAAACTCCTTTTTTATTTTGCAGCATTAACTTCTAAAGGACAAGCAAAGAAAAGGGCCCAAATTCTTTGTGACCTTCCAAGCAGCTCTAGAATAATTGTTATATTATCTGTGCTGCAATGTACTAACCAAACTACCGGTTTCTTTCAGGTGGGTGTACATGGCATTAGAATAGAATTCATCAATGAAAAAGGATCCAAAAGAACCGCCACGTACTTACCGGAGGTTGCAAAGGAGCAAGGTCATTGATGTACTTTATTTCATAACAATTGGTTAAAGAGTTAAAAAAAATTACATACAAACCAGAAATACAATATGTGACCTTGCAGTGATGTCAGATCAGATGGTGGATCAGATTATAATTGTAAGGCTTCTATCTTTGAATCATTTTGTAAATGTTATCTGTTTAAAATGCAGTAAATAGTGCTTTCACTTTAAGACTAGTAAGCGGTAATTGTTTTAACCCATCAACCATTTAACCTGTAAACATTTTCTCTAAACACGGATACAAGATGCCAATGATCTCTGTGAGTCAGAAACCCCTCCCATGTGCCTCTCTGATATAGTTTGACTCTACTAGGGGGTTAACTTCCCTGAGTTGGGACCTAAGTCTTCCCACCTGACTGCATCCTGTTCAGTATGGGGGCTCCAAACGGCCACAGAATTACATTTGTTGGGCAAGGAGAATGGCAACTTGCCAGAGCTTAGCCCAGAAGTTTTGCCTTTAGTAACAAACACATCAGAGTTGTAACCATAGGAGGGTTGTTTGTAAGGATTAGAATATAAACCTTATGGTGTCTCTTGCCCGGAACTTTTATTTCAAAGTTTTTGAAATGGCCAACAGGTTTGTTTAAACTTTAAGTTGACATATCTATTTCAATTTGTTGCTAGATTTCAAAGCGTTAACACATCAGATGCCATCTAGTCATTCAGCCCAGTGAGCTGTTTCTTAAACTTTTTTTTTTTCTTGAACTTATGTTATGTGCAAACTACATATTTTAAGTGCCCTCGCTAGTCAGATATGTTTGAGATACAGTTGCAGTAATGTGTGCTCCTCCCTATTGGTATAATTACTAGTATAGATGCTGGTATTCCTTAGGGTCTACTTGCTTTGACATACTTTCATGATGTTTTATACAGACTTGGAAGTTGTCCCTCTAGTGGTGACCTGTATGTTGGGAGTTACAGCTAGAGCCCTTGATGACTAGGCTGCCCAGGGAGCTCTTAATGTATTACGGGGTCTGAGATGACACATGCATCTAGAATGAGATAAGGGAAGTGAAACACAACACTACTGTAGCAAGAAGCACAGAATGTATATGAATGTATTAAGGATGCGCACTGATACTAGTACAGAGTATTTGGCCCAAATGCTCCTGATGCCTATTCCAATACCGGAACTTACTAATGACTTTGAGTCATTACACGCCACCCGGCTTCCTTAATGGGACTTCTGGTATCTGTATTTCTTTAACTTTGAGGCCAAACTGCAACCAAACTTTTTATTATTTTAAATATATTGGGGAAGGGTTAGGCCACATTCACACACTCACTCCTGCGTTTAGGTTACGTAACACCATTCCTAAAACACATATATGCAGTGTCATGGAAGTGTGCGTCATAGTGCTCACTGACACTGAGTTGTCACAGACAAGTCCTGGTCTCAAGCTAATGATTTGGGAGCCAAAAGCACCAGCTCCTGATCATGTGATCACAAGTAAGAGCCTCTCCTTTTGTCTTTCTCTTCTGTGAGGAGAGTAGAAATATTGTAAACCATTTTCTCATAACTAGAACAGAAGCTGAAGTAAACAGAAAAATTTAAAATTAAGATAAAATAGGTAAAGGTAGGTTATTATTATACAGGATTTATATAGCGCCAACAGTTTGCGCAGCACTATATAAGGAAGACATTACAACCACAATACAATTCAAGACAAGATGGTAAGGAGGGCCCTGCCCCTGAGGGCTTACAATCTAAAATCGAGGGGCCAGTGATACATGAGGAGGTAGCTGCGTGGGGATGGATTGTTTGAGAACGGGAAGGTTGAGTGGTTAGGTTGAGGTGGGATCGGCTTCCTTGAAGAGATGAGTTCGCCAGTTATATTGTGTTTAGGTGTTATATAAGCACAATGTGCACTATTGTTTTGGGGCTTTGCTATGGGTAGGTGGAAATAATGCACATATGTGGAATTGCCGTGAATGTCGAATTTTTTTTTTTTTTGAGCGAGAACTTATAGTAATGGCATAAAAATGTTTTACGTTTGAAAAAAAATTAAAATAATATAGTGTGTGTGTATATATCTATATATGTTTTTGCATTTATGCTTCCCAGATGTTCTATGTCTAGATGTATCTTCCTTTACGCAGGATTAGCTGCATTTACACATTTTCACGTACGTTTAGAGTTTCTAAATGGACCTTGGAATTCTCTAAACGCAGCTAAACCAAATGCACATGAACACAGGTAATTGCAGTTTGAATGATATTAAAACTCATAAAAATGTGTGGATGAGGCATTGCGTTTTCTAAAGTTGTAAATACAGTATCTGTTCTTAAAGAGAAGATTTCTGTTCTGACACCCATCATCTGAACAGTAAGGACGTGAAGGGAAATTCTTTTGCCATTAACAGCAGTAAAGCCTTAACAGAGGTTCAAAACCTTCCTTGCTCTATTGTAAAAATGTTTTCATTGATGCCTGTGCTCCCATTGGGAAACTTACTCACTTTCTGTTCTGTGTCTCACGAACTGAGGAGAAATCTTGCCAATGAGGGCACAGGCAGCAATAATATGTTGACACGTTCTTAACCTTCTATATGGTATCCAAAAGTAGAAAAACATTTGGCTGGAGATTAGCTTTAAATTAATTCACATGTACAATACTTTTAAAAGAACAGATTCCTTTTAAACCTGGCAGGCTTTCTGTATGTAATGTCTTACTAGTTTGTGTTTCTATGACGGGAAGGATTGTTTATATCTTGACCCTCTGTGAGCAGCATTTGACAAATCCAAAAAGTCACATAGTTGAGGTGAAAGAAAAGAAAAAAAAGATGGTGCCTAACACATTTCAGACTTGGCTAAAGCAAATGTTTGCAGATTCCGGTGTAATTATAGTGATTAGCTGCTGAGCTGTCCACCTCTTTCCCCAAGATGGCTTTCATCATCTATAAAATGGAAACCTTGTACTAGCCATCTCTATTTTCATGTAGTAGATGATCAAACAATACTACCAAATTGTCTTTTGTTTAGTAAGCTATGTGATCTCTGGCATACCAGGTTCACAGGTCTTGACTAATGTCCTGAGCTAAGCCTGTATTGCAGTATTTGGTTGTCCAATTCAAGGGCCTAAGTGGCCTGTTAAGGCTTACACTGGACTAATGAATTGCTGTGGGAAGGCCTAACTCGGTATATAATGAAGTATGAAGGTTGAAACCTATGTTTTAGTTTCCACCTTGGATCAAAGAGCTCTCTAGGCTTACAGAAAATGATTTAATGATTTAAAAAAGGTACTTGCAGGCTCTGCAAGTTGCACATTAAGGCAACTTGCAGGTGTATGCCCCCTTGTGACCTAATTAGTTTTAATCAGTCATTATTGTGATTTGCTTACCACTTCTAGTCAAAATAATTGCTCTGTTCTATGGCCTGGTTTACTAGAACCCTTTCCTAGGTTAGTTCCCTGCTCAGTAGACAGAGGAGATGATTCTGAATTATTGTCCCATGACCAGCATGGAGGCATAGGTAAATCTGAGCCACAACACGATTTTAAATTGCTAAACCATGAAATAATTGTCACCTTTCTGTGTGTGTAAATCTCAAGACCAGAATTAGATTCTTTTGTAGGTAAAGCAGTTAAAGGAGATCTATGGGGCAACCTTTTTTGGCCGTAGTTCTCTTCAGAGTCACGGGGGGGGACATATACTAATGTCCTCCGGTGACCCAAAACTCAGTATATTGCCTGCTATCTGCTGAGTGCAGAGCTACGCAGCAGCCGAGACGGATCCCGACAATATTGTCGAGACCCACCCCACTGGCTGATTGACAGCTGGCTCTGCCTCTCTAGAAGTAGAACCAGCTGTGTCTACTCCTGTCTGTTCCTTAGTCAGCCCTAGAGAAACAGAGAGCGGAGGGGTGAATCCCTGCGGGGAGCTGTGACTGACGGTCACTATTCTCTACAGGGAGCGGATCAGGAAGCTCATGATCGGCGGTGTGTTCGATGGCTTCCTGATCAGTAGAGCTGATCTGTGAGAGCTTCAGTGGCGCACATCAGCTTGAATTATGGGGGGGTTTTTTCACTCGCCCCATAATTCTCTAACATTTATGTATTTCAAGTATGCATTCAGCTGCAGTTTTACTTTCTAGAGTCACTCGATATAAAATAGATACTTCAGTGCCAGCTTTTTGTAAACTATTAGTAATCATAAATTTAAGATTTCCCAGCTTGGCCCACAGATCATTGACAGTATTGAATTTGTTTAAAAAGACTCCCTTATGTAGCATATTACGACATGGCCATTTATGGAAGATTGTCCCATCAAAGTGTAACAGAATGCAGTGTTTCCATTACACAAATGTTCTTTATATAGCATTTTTAGCTGACACGTTTTGTACTGTAACATTTCCATTTCTCTACTGAAAAGAAATCTTAGCATGCTGTTGCTGTATTTAAATTTTAGAGCATTCTTCATAAGATTTTTAGCAGGTGTATATGTAAGCATTTTTAGTCACTTTTAACATTTTCTTTAATATTGTAAAATAAAGTGCTTGACACAGGTTTAATGTGTTTTAAAAAAAAGTTGCAAGCAGAATTGACAGTATGCTGTGCCTTCAAGCTCTGTCGGCTATTTTTGTTATAGTTCCATTCCACTTGCAACATTTTCTGTGCAGTAGCCCCACTACTATGCCATGGCCCTTATACAGTTATCATCCATTTGAGGGCATAGTTGTGTCCGATGGCCCCACAGTATGCCCAGCCTGGCTTTTGGGGAAAAAAAGTTCAAAGCTGCAGGTGTTTATAGTTGCCAGTCTTCGAGAATGGTACAGAAAAGCAGTTTTAACCCTCATGCATAAGACTAGATATTATGATATTATTATTGTAAGTCAAGCATATATAGTGGAAGATTTACAAATGAATATGGGCTCATCTTGCAGACTATGCAAAATTTGCTTAACCGTATGCGGTAAAATGTGTAAATTATATGCAGTTAAGATAACATGCAGTGGTCATAGTTGAGGAGCGCAGTACAACAAGAATAGTGTGAAAGTACCCTCATGACACTCCTTGTAAATATCCCCAATACTTAATAAATGTGAAGAAATAAGTGCTAAGGTGGTTTGCTGATTATTGCATCCATTAAAGTCTGTCCAGCCAAAAGGTTTTTCTTCATTTTGGATTGAGTGGGGAACTGAAAACTTCAGTTATGTCGTTTTTTTTTGTTTTTTTACTGCTATCCATCTATGTTAGAGATTTACCTTCTCTTGTGATTTAAGCCGGGTATACACACTTCGAATCTCAGCCGGTTCAAGATTCGCTGTGTGGGTGCTGCTGTCTGCGCCCTTCCGCTCAGCATCCCTCGATCAGCTCATCGAAGGAGCCAGTTAGACAATTCTCGGCCAGTCAGCTACAAGCTCCATTCAGGTATTCTGTCGGAATACAAAGGAAACGGCAGGGGACTGTCGTTTCATTTAGCCCACGGGTTGAGTAAAGTAGTAGCGATGCACTGAAATAAAAATTTTTAGAACGAAACAAATGTAAAAAATTTGTCAGACCGAAACCGATAATTACTTCTTTTTTTTTTCCCCAACCTTTTAAAATATTTCTACATTTTTATTTTTTTTTAACTTTTATTATTCAAGGCTTCGGGAGATATCAGGGGTTTAAACAGACCCTCATATTCCCCCATTCACAATCTGGGAATAGTAAATATTTACTATAAACCCTGTCATGAATTGACAGGAAGCCTCTGTACTGAGCTGCTTCCTGTTCATTTATAAAGTGAGCAGATAGTAAATGCCTACTATGTCCCCATTCATAAATGAACAGGTAGAGATATAACGGCCATCTCCTCCTGGCAGCCGTCTACTCTCGCACCACCCCACTCTGCCTCCTGACAGTGGTCTCCTTTCAGCATCGCCCCGCTCAACCCCCTGACGGCGGTCTCCTCCACTCACCACCCCGCTCGGCCTCCTGACAGATTGTCTCCTCCCCGCAAGGCCCTGGTAGCTGGATCGGCTCTGTGTCCCCTCCAATCCCCGCTGCCTCTGCCGACATAGGCAGTAGGGACACAGACCGAAGCCCGCGCCCATCGGGGAGGGGAAAGGCTAGGGATACACCGCATTTTCGCCTGTTTTTGTACTATCGCCATTTTGCCCATAGTACCATTTTTGGCTGAAATTTTGGTGCATTCCTACAAAATAGAACTGTGTATACCTGGCTTAAATCCAACAGAAAGACAGACCCTTTAGTAGAGTAGGGGTAAGCTAAACCCCCCTGACAGATTTGTGTCCCTGTTGCAGACTGGTGAAAGAAGGCAAGAAGTAAGACGAAATCTCTTAACGGAACCCCTGACGGCAGTAAAAGCCTGACAGGGATTCTAATTCTTCCCTACTCCAAAACTAGAAGAAAATGTTTTTGCTTCATATACACTTTAAACAAAATAGAACCTCTAATGCATACTCAGACCTACACGCCACACAAACACTGGCTTTTATGTTTTGTGTTGCAGGTTGGGACCACATACAAACTATAGATTCCTTATTGAGGAAAGGTGGATACAAAGCTGCAATCAGTAATGACTTCAGGAAAACTATTAAACTGACCAGGTATGACAAGCAGATACTGAAAGTCCAACTCATGACAAAATGTTTTCTTTAGTTTTAGAATGGAAAACTTTTAAGTGTAATGGTAGCAATAGTTTACTTTTTTCAGGCTATGTACATTTTCTGCAAGCACATTAAAATACCAGTTGATCCTGCCACAATACTGGTGCCTTTGTAAGTTTCTGTGTACTAAACTGAAATATTAAACGGTGTTATCACCCTTTTCAGTTCTAGTCTGTAAACTAGAACACCTTCCCCCATCTTATGGAGGAAAGAGGAGAAGGTGTTTGCAGTTAAAATCAGAGAGCAGTCTAGGTTGACTACACTGATCCTCCATAATAGTTTTGTATGTACTTGAAATTTTTCAAAGAATGCAAAGCACTCTGTGATTGGAGGAGGAGTGGAAGGGACAGAGATGTGACATCTCTCTTCCTCCAATTACTGATCGAGTTTCGAGTCGCATCCCTCACTCTCCGCATTGCCCAGAAGAATGGTGTTATGTATAGGAGCCGGCATGCTGCAAAGTAAGTTTTTTTTTTTTTTTTTTTTGTTTTTTTTTTACCCCATGTACATTTTCATTGCAATTATCGTGCTTGACAAGTGGCACCGCCCGTCAAACACTGTCCTGTATATTTTTATACAACGGCGCAAGGCATTCCAGCCTCAGCAATGAATACAAAGCTTTTCAGCTGCAGTGGAGCCTGCAGCCAGAGACGCAGTGGGGCTGGGAAACAGCATATGAACTGTGTGGTTTTATTGCCCTCTTGCTGCCCATGTGAAGGAGGCCTAAACTGATGGATGCACCTCAAGAGCACATAGAGAAGTAATAGTGGAGTCCTACAAGAGATTAACTCATACAGTAACAAAGAATCATGTTGCATTTGACTTCTAAGTACGACACCCACATATTGTTATGGGTTATCGTTTGTCCATTTTGATGGGCTGGAAATAAGATATTTCTGTATTGCATGTACTGTATGTATATTTGTGATCAGTTTTGGTATGGCGTCTACATCTATGATTTAATGTAGTGGTTCCCAGGGGATAAGAGCTATATACAGAAGCAGACACCAGGCTTTGCAACCCTTTTCAACTATACAGGGATTAGCACAGTGATCTGAGGCCTGCACACTTTGTGCACATCCTGTGTAAGCCTATGTCTGCAGCTCTGGTTTCACTGGAGCTGCCCTTGTCCTGCCCTGACCTACATTTATCAACTTCATTAGTTGCCAAGCTGTTAAGTTTCCGTGCGCAGAGGATTTTATGGGCAGATCAGCTTACTGATCTGAATCGGGTTTTCTTTTACATTGGGTATACAGCCCACTTTTGTTAGCCACATTTTCTTAAAATGTATCGGTTAAGTAATAGAGCGCCTACATTGCTGGTGTGTGTATGTGTATGTGTATATGTATATGTATTATATATATTAGGGATGCACCGATATATATCGGCCGCCGAAACATACCGGCCGCAAATGGCACTTTTGGCATAATGCCGAAGTGCCATTTTCCTGCCGATATATCGGCGCATCCGTGATTTATTTTCTCCCCGCTGGGCGCTGCTCTGTCCCAGCGGGGAGAAGAGAAAGTGATAGCCGGCCGAGCGCTGTGGTGGAGAGCGCTGTGAGCGGCCGCAGTCTCCTCCCACACCGGTCTGCCGCCTATCACAGTCCGGCAGAGCCGTCTGTGGGCGGAGACAGCGCTGTCACAGGAGGCTGGGCTTTTCTCCCTACACCGCTCGATCAGCCTCCTGTGACAGCGTGTCAGAGAGGAGAGCAATGTACACACACAGCGATCAGTGCAAATTCCCATTTCTCATGCCATGCAACATGCAAATCTTTTCAGTTTTTCTCCAAGATTTGTCAAGCCTTTCAGCTAAAGGAGCATTATTAGCTTACCTGTATGGTTTGTTTGCGTGCCTGTCATTGTTTAGTGGAGGTGTCGGCCTCTTGTGTTGTCTGAAGACAAAGGTTTTGCTGTTGACCTTTACTATAGCGGTCTGGTTTTCGGTCCATCCCCATCAGGCTGTATGGTGTGCATGTTTTCCTCAGTTGCTTGCATTTTCTTTAAAAAAAAAAACAATTGGTCATCTGGCTTCTGCATTAGTAAGGCCTTTTGTGTGAGCGTGACTTCGTACGGCCATTAGCCCGAAAACTTGTTTGTGCACAGACTCCTGTGAAAAGTTGAAATCTCATTTAACCCCTTTTGAGACCAGTGGTCAATAATGTCTAGATGCCCAGGCCAAATTTAGCAACCATCAGCATGTCTGTTAACTCAGCAATATATGACTAATTTGCCTATATTTTTATGATTAGTTTATGGATGTGATTTTTTTTTTTTTTTTAACATTGTTTTTAGTTAACTGACAATTGAACTAATAGATGGCTCTGCACATGAAAACTGCTGCCTGAAAGTGACACTATTCTTCTGAAGGCTTTCATTTATCTCGGTAGAGCTTCAAGCCTGCATGTGATCCTTTTATCATGGCTGGCATGGTGATGACATGACAAGGAAACATTCTAATTGGTTGCAAGTTCTCGTGGGCAAATGACAGCTGGGATTGAGAGCTATCAGCCGTGCTTTGTTGACTGCTGCCTCTCATGAGGGAAATGTTTATTAACATGTCCTCAGCACGGGCATTGTGCCATTGTACGGTAATCTATAGGTTGTTTGGAAAGGGGTTAAAGACTGCATAATATCCTGATGCAACCTAGGCGAATATATGCCAAGTGCTGTCTGCTATAGCATTGTGCTTTATTACATGCATGTGTTTTTTTTGTTTTTTTTCTCTTTTACAGATACCGTAGCGAGAAGATGACAATGAGCTATGCCGAATATATATCCCACCGTCAGCACCATCACTTTCAAAATGGCATCGGGCACCCTCTCCCACCATACAACCATTATTCCTGACACTGAGCCGCATGACCAGTCACTAGACCTCTCAGCAGAACTCTTCCCAGGAGACCCAGCTCCCTCTTGGTCTAGCTATCTCTATTACTGTACTATTTTATGATGATTGTTTCCGTTGTCCTGTTTGGTCTTTGCCTTCTTTGGCATTGCTAATCAGGGCAACGGGTGGGAAGACATATTAAGTACCTACAATGAATTTTTGTCTACTTTTTTAATGACAAATTTTTGAGCTACTGAGGTTTTTTTGCAGCATATATATATATTTTTTCTTCATTAACATTTCTTACTCTATTTTTATTTTACAGAGTTTTTTTGGGGTTTTTTTTGCGCTAACCTTTCCCTACTGATCAGGGTTTCTCAATGATTGTGGATGGAAGGAAGCTTTTTATTAAGTAATGATGTACCTGTGATGGATATGAGTTGTGTGTATGCACTCAGCTAGTTAGTATCTGGTACATATCTATTTTATTTGCATTTCGTATAGCCCTCTGAGGTAGCTTGCATTTTCTTGAGACATTTTGGAAGAGATTATTCTTGGCATTTCAACTGATTATAAAAACATATTTTTAGGAGAACTCTATAGCTCATGGGATAGTTTAGGTGGACCATCCAGCAGATAAATATTTCATGCACAATTTGTTGGAAGAAAATTTATTTGATCCCTTTTTTTTCTGTAAATGCTAACAAGTGATGAGGACCTGTAGATGATGTATGTAAAGTGTGTCGGCAAAGACAGAGTAAGTGCAGATCATGGGACTTTCATCTGTTTTACTTGTACACGTATACATACAATGTTTTAAACCCTACCTCAGAGTTGCCTTGCAGTGTTAGATGACATGCTTTCATCTGGATCACCAGAATTAATTGTGTCTTTGGTTTCATGAACAGTGTGCGACAGTGCTGGTTCCATCACTTGATCCCATGTCCCATGTCTGCTCCTTTTACTCCTTACGAAGGGGGAGTTATACATGGTAAATTTCATGTGTTTGTTCCTTAAAGGACAACTGATTATAGCTTTGTCACAACAAAGTAAACCTTCAGTTGAGTCATTTTTTAATCTGAAACAGTGGTTTTACATTTTGGATCTGTACTTTCATTTTGCAATGTCCTTAAATAGATGTTCCTGGTTTTTTTAGGAATGGGGAAACACATTCTGCCTTGCTCTAGTGTATGGTGAGGACAGAAAGATTCCATTCTATTTCAACAACATGAGAATGCTCTAATTAGGCAGTGGACAGGCTTTTATTGAATGTACTGTAGCAGTGCCAATAGCGGGCATGCCATAGATGACTGGAGCATCCCTAAACGCAGGAATTAGACAATGTAGTCAACTTCACCCTTTTGTGAAGAATATAGAAAAGCTTTGTTAGGTTCTTTTTAATACTAAATCCTACTGAATCTTTTAAAGTTCAGTTCATGAATTTACCATTTAAACTTGTGTGCTCGTTCCAAAAATATAGTTATGACGGGGATAGAAAAATACAGCCAGTCCAATATTGGCGCATGCAGAACGTTTTTAGGGCTTGTGTTTTTTTGTACACACTCTTTTTTTGCATTGAACCATTGGCTCATTACGCCTTTTTTTTTTTTCCCCTTTCAAAATTGGTATATATTGTTTATTTTACATACCAAGTCATTGTCCATCTGTCATTTTTAGAGCTAGCTTCCTTATTAATTGGTCAAGATCGGCATTATTTTCTCTAGATATCTATGTAGAGACCATAATGCAGGTTTTGACAAAGCATGTTATTTTGAGCTGTAAAGTCATGTGAGGTTAGCAACCTGCGGACAAAAACTAGGCCACAGGCACTCATATGTGGTGTTTTGGTACATGAAGAAACTCCTTGGTAGTGCATATTATCCACAAAACCAAAATGGCCCTTTTTTTTTTCATTTTGAATGTTAGAGATTCAAATTGTTAAAAAAAAATTTTTATTTGAAATTTTATGTAATGATGAAATTGAAACGTATATTTTGATGTGACAAGTTTTAATTTTCAGTTTTGCAGCAGTGGTCCTTTTGAGTGCAGCAATATCTTCTGAGTTTAAGAAGAATGAATACTTTGGGGATTTTAACATTTTTCAGCTCTGTTTTCGGTAAATCTGTATAATGAAATCCGTAGTTGAGCTACGACTATGTATGGAGTTGCATGGTACTGTCAGCCCCCCAGACCTGATGTTAATTGTTGGGCTTTGAGGCCAGGAAGAAGGATTTCTGATTTGTTAATATTGCAAGGAGTAAAGATGTAGTCTAGTTATAGGACATGGACTGTACCACCATGCTCTTCTTTTTTTTTCTTTTTTTTTTTTTTTTTTTTGAAATGCATTTCTACCTTTTTTTCTGAAGTGCCTTTTTTTTTTTTTTTTTTTTTTTTTTTTTTTTTATTGAAATGCATTTCTACCTTTTTTTCTGAAGTGCCATTATTTTGTAGCTTTCTGGATCATTTAGCCACAAAGATGAATGAAATGTCAATAGATCTGGTACTATTATTTGAACTTAAGGAAACCAAGCATTCAAAACAGTGTGCTTTTGTGTGGCTGTGTGTTAGTTTAGGACTACATCCAGGGCTCCTGCTAGTGCTGGAGAAAAGAATAGGAATTTGGCAGTAGCTCTGCACATTGTGGTGGAATCGGGTTCAGTCCATTTACTGGGGTTGACAATAAAAAGTTACTAGGTAGGTTTTTTGCAATACAAGCCTTTAGCTTAGACTAGCTTCTATTAACAAAATCGAGTAGATGTTTAACCTCTTTGGTGCTGGAAATGGCTCTTTAAACAGATCCTGAAATTGTAAGCCACTCTAGCAGCAAAGCTGTTAGACATAAGTGGTTCCTTCATCCACATCATTTTGCTCAAAACATTGGTCACAGTAACTGCTGCAGGCCCCCTGTAGCAGGAATTTCCCCACTGATATTTTTTGGATGCCTTAAATTACGGTACTTGCTGCCAGAACAAATAGCAGTGGAGATCTTTCGGTATCTGAGCAGCTTCCAAAGTTTGTCAGACCAATACATTGTAGGCTCTCCTATCTAAGGAGATGCCAAGGGGGTGTGAATTTCATTTTTGCCATTCCTCCCCACACTCAGGTGCATGGAGTTACAATTATTTGATTTTTGTCCATTTGGTTCTTTTCCCTTGCATCATGTCGTGTTCTCCTGGGGAGTTATTGTGCTGCCTTTTAGGGAGAGCACCCCTTTGGATCTTATTTTGCATCCAGCTAATAAAGTGAGCACAAGTAAAATCATGATTTTTTTGCTGCAAAAAAATCTATTCTTTTATAAGTACAGGCACAGCAAAATGGTTTTGGTTTTGTTGACAGAGGTTGCAACATTTTTTTTTTGGTCAAAATGAGCTTTAGAATTTTTCCTTTATTTTTTAAATGCTATGTATTTAAAGGTGCTAATCATCCTTGCACAAGGTCCCGTGACTGGTCATGCCAACTCGAGTTCATATCAGATTTTTTTTCTTTTTACTAATCCTCGATATATGCAGATGTTCTACAAGATGTTTCTTACCAGTGTAATAATGCGATACTGATGAAATGCCAATCCTGCAGGTTTTGATAGCACAAGGTCAGCAATACTTCCCAGCATGGCTTAGGGGAGACTGAAAAACCACAAAAAGGATTTGTTTGTGTGTCCTTTTGTGTACAGCTTAGTGCAAAACTGCATTCGTCTCTTAGTAGCTGTTTAAAAATAGCATGAAGATTGTTATGTAAGCTTGTTTACGGATGGATTCATATAAGTCTTTGGGGTGGGGTTAAGGTCTACGGGGCTACACCTGAAACTTAGAGAATTTGAAGCAGAACGCTTGTCACGGAAGCAGTCATTTCCCAATTCATAGACCCTTTTCTAGATCCATAGTAGAGAAGTTAAACCTATTCAGCTTTGCTGAGGTTATAGCCCTCATTCACCCGAGTAACGGCCAGCCCGTACAGATCCGTGCTGCGTGCACGGCCGTATCAGGCCGTTCCCGGGAAGGACAGGTGGTGCGTGTGATTTGTACGCAGCAGCCTGTTCTCTATAGGAGTACGGCGCCCTAGGCTCACCCGTACTGCACGTCCGTGCGGGTGTCACTGCTCGGACGCAGACAGGATCCATCCTGACACCCACACGGACGTGCAGTTTGGGTGAGCGTAGGGCGGCGTACAGCCACGTACTCCCATAGAGAACAGGCTGCTGCGTACAAATCACACGCAGTACTTGTCCTTCCCGGGAGCGGCACGTTATGGCCGTGCACTTAGCACGGATCTGTAAGGGCCGACCGTTACTTGTGTGAATGAGGGCTTAAGGTGAGCTGGAACTAATGTATGGTTCCTGATTGGGAGAATCGCCGGCTGTTTCCATTAATGGTGGGGACTTAATCTCCTAAGGGTTATTTTATAAAAAATTGTAAAAGTGGAAGCTACGTAGAATCCAGTCAGGTACCAGGTGTCCTTTCAGTTAGAAGATGAAAATCGTTAAACTTCTTTTTTAATTTATTTGGATTGGCTTAGTGGACAATTTCTTCCATCACTTCTCCATTTTTACAGAATTCTGTGAGCTTGTTTTGGCAACTGATTCAGTTTTAAAGGCATTGCCCGCTGTACACTACAACACACATTTTTAGATGTGCCATAGTTTTCCTGCTACAATTAACCTTGAATTTCTTTTTTAAGTGAACTCTTCCTCCGTTAGAGATCCAGATCCCCCCTTTTTAAAGTGTATATTATGAAAGAAATTAGATTGAAGCATGTTACTGAAAATGTTTAATCACGAACATAAGCCTTAAAACACAATCTGAAGCCATTTAACTGTTTTTCCCATCTACCTGTCTAATGCCAGGGTCCAGCTATGCAATTACACTCACTGCGGAATTCATTTTTTCTGTTTTTTTTATTTGAGTTTAATAAAGGAGGTTAATGAAAATGGAATTATTTTAGATAAAACTGGGCAAATGCTTTTTAAGTATGCACATGCAACCAGCATGTAAATAGTCATGCATTTTAGAATAACAAAATGATTGGGAACAGTCCCTTCAAATGGAAAATCATTAACTTTTCACATTCAGTTAATTCACGTAATAACCAATTCCTTTTTTATTAAACAAAGCAAGTCTAATCAATGGAGTTCACAGATCAACTCCTCAAATGTTCAGTCTGTTTGCAGTTTTTTAACTATTTATTTTTTAAGGCAGTAAAACGTTTCCGATTCTGAAACATTGTCCCAACACCACATCCTACTGTAAATGAGCAATGCCTTTTTGACTTGAGATAATGGCATGCGGTTTGCTATCCAGTTTTGTGAATTGCTCTTGTATGTCTCCCTGCACA